ACAAAACTTATCACATGGGAAAGGGCAGCGAGTGAAAGGGAAGATACGTAAATGCGCGATCGGTTACATTTCCACGAGGCCTGCGCATATAGGAAGACGCGGCAATAAAAATATATATATATGATGGCGATGAGGTAAACTAAAATAAAAAGAAGGAAAAAGCGATGGGGAAGGAAGGCTGACAAAGCGAGCGAGGAAGGACTGGGGCGGGCGGTTCCTCCGGATGTGCCGTCGGTATCAGCGCCTCGCACGGTCGCCAAAGTTCGGTCAACGGTGGCGCACAACGGCATTATGTCTGCTTGTTTGCCCGGCCAGGCGAGCCGCGCCGGCGTGCCTCATGGAGCGCGCAAATGTACCGACGACTGCGAAGTCGACGATGGTGTACACCCCCCCCCCCTACCTCCCGACGGCTAGAGCAAACATCGGAAAATCGAATCCTCCTTTTGCCCTCCTTTCTTGGCGCTTCTTTCTCTCTATCTCTCTCTGAAAGTCTGTCTCACGCAGTCGTTGCCTATTATTCCCGTGCATTGGCCTCCCGACGTCCGTGCTGTACGCTTCTTGCTCCTCAAACTTTACTCGTAGTCGGGAAGGCAAACTTTGTTGTGTGTTCTATTTCATACACCTGCTCTTTTGTTGATTTTTGTTTATTATTTAGTTTACAGCAAAACCATTTAGTCTTCCATGCAATGTAGTCGTCCTCATAGCAATAGTAGCGATAGGAACCATCACGCTGTTCGCGGGAGCAGGAGGATTGGCAAATAAGGAAGTGAACGAAACGAGATCATAATCATGATGATGATGCACGTGATCTGGACGGCCAATCACATACCAAGGCTGTAATCTGGGCACGTTGGTAGTGCATCTTTACGAACGCCACAAGAACACCGCAGACGAAGACACAAAGAAGAAACACACTTGCGTACACATAAAGCACACGTGTGCGTGTGTGTTCTTTCGTTGTGTCCTCGTCGGAAGTACACTTTTGCCGTTCATAAGCAATCACGTACAGTGGCAAACTTACAACTTCACTCGCCTATGATCTCCGCGTTGTGAAACTGGCTGCAATTTTTAGCACGAAAGTGTTTTAATGCCAGGGTCCAGCACGGCTGTGCTGACGTATATCTGTCACGAATATGACGTAATATATATATACTAGCAGATTACAAACAAAAAAATAGGAGAAATATTTTCCGTAGTGAGGCGTGGCACCAGCGACCTCTCACTCTTCAGCGAGCAACACAAATCACTTAACCACATAACCTACGTTGCCCTGGAATGTAAACGCAAGTCATTTGTATTCACCATGTGTCGCTGGCGGTCCTCAGAGCTCAGCAACTTCAGCGTGTTTTCGTTAACAGTACTGAGATGGCGCGAGGGTCACGCGTCGGGCGCGTGCGCTCTACAGTTCGTTGCCTCACACCACCCCACGCGTTAGTTACTGTGAGGGCGCACCTCCACATGGCGTAGTCAAAGTGCCTATAGATGTTCTGTGGCGTGGTCGCTTACTCGTGCGCGTGCCTATTTCATGATTCGGGTTCTTTGTGCCTGTTGTGCTTTCACCTCAAGTTTGCTTTGAAACTACAACGATTAAAGAAAGCTCCAAGTTACTTCACTCGCTGCCATGGCCGCGTTTACGAACGGAGCACACTGCTCACACACGAACAACTAAAAATTATGACAGTCGATCGCACATCGTCCTTTGTTAACTTTTTCGTTCGTTTCGTGCATCTTTCTGTCTCTTTGAGCAGCGTGCTTCAACTATTGAGCTGTGACCGTTTTTTGATCGCGCTCGTTCTGTGTATGCTCATTTCATGCGTGTTTTCTGCTTGAAGTGTATGCTGGACATTTTGAGCTGCTTAGAATTCTTCAGGTGACATTACAGTTTCTTCCTGCAGTATTTATTCTTTCAGCCCTGTGATGTAACAATGCACAATAAATGCTCCACTACCTGCTTGAAGACATCTTTCACTGTCGTGTTATACCAATTCCTAAAAAGAGGGACCAGCCACGTTTTCCTTTTTTTCGAGTAAGCTTCATCTACCACGAGCTATTGTCCTCATCAGTGTCGTCAGAGCGATGGCAGAGCTATAGTAGGAGCAGTAGTACCAAACGTCAAGGAGGTCTTGTAACTAGAGGAAAGATCGAATATAAACAATAACAAAACGAACCTATGACTAAGATTCTCGTATATATGTGTTAATTTTAATAGATGTTTCTCACGCTAGACATGATGACGCACGGGCCCTGGCTAGGCCAACAGTCGCACGCTCACAGCTTCACCACCCGACGGTTCTCACGGTGTAGAAAAGGCTTTCGATATTTTTTGTGAGGTTCAGCAGTCTCTTCGAATACGCAGTAGTTTCGGAAGCAGTCTCTCAGTTGAACTAAAAAAAACATTTAATTAGAAACTTCATTACGGGAACGAGCAGCCTATAAAGGTAAAATTACGCATGACCCAAAAACTACTGTTGATATTATCGAAGATAAGACTGCCACGAGGCATTCCATCTCAACTGTTATTGCGGTGATTAAAACTAAACAAAAACAAACATGTCATAGAGTTCGAAAGAAGAGAGGTGCGACGAAGCGCTAGAACGGTCAAATGAGACAAAATTGCGGAAAGAAGGTAACGCATAAAAGGAGTTATCATTGTTCCATGTCTTCACGCCGTTAAGAGCCCTCAGGCATTCCGCTCTGAGTAGAACCACTCCTTGAGGTGCACGCAATGGGTACGGCCCTTTATTGCAGCCACTGTATTTTGTCGGCGGTGATCTTGTGGTGGGTCGAGAACTTCGCATGTGCGTGTTTTCTACCGCACACGCAGATTCAGTGCCACCTGGATGGTTTAACCAAACAATGCAGAAGTGGAGGGGAATATAGATGTTTGAAGGGAGCAAAAATTAGTTGCTTGCTTCCTCGCGCACGACGAGTTCACTTGCCAAAGCATTGTTTCCAGTGACATTCCACATTATTAGCTTATTATTATTCCACATTCCACATTATTCCAGCTTATTATTGCGAAAACTTTATATGTCTCATTAAACGCGCAAATTGACTGACGTCCCGCTTTGATGTATCCCGGTCGGCATTCTCACGAGTGTTGTGAAAAATTATTGCATGCCATGGTCACGTCACATGTATGACACAAGCATAGCGTCACAACGACATCATGTGATGGCGCCGTGGCATGACGTTGTAGCCCGGTCAATGGTAGGCAGGTCACCGAGGCAGTGCAAAATCAGGTAGGGAGCTTCCGATCTTTGAGGTATTCTAAAATCACGTTAGGTGCAGAATGTTTTCGGAAGGATGGCGTAGCAGAAACTGAGTGCAATGACTGGGAATAAAAATAAGGTGGCTTCACCTCCCAGTTGTCTCAAGTGCGTGCATAAAGCAGTCTGTGAGTTTAAACCCTAGGCTTGTAGTTGTACATGTATGGCATCACCTAACATCACCAAGACGTTTTCGCCGTACTTGTACGACAACACCTAACATGGACCAAGGAGTTCTGCGGTACAACTACGGCATCACCTAACATGAACCAAGGTGTTTTTGCCGTATATGCATGGCAGCACCAAACATGAATGAAGCGGTGTTCTCCGTACATATATGACATCACCTAACACGGACCAATTGGTTTTCGCCATATTTATATAAGGCATTACCTAACATGGACCAAGGCGAATTTACCATACATGTACGGTATCGTCAGTACGTTTAAACGCGCATATTTTAGGCCATTTTTCTTAAAGCTCGCAGAGTCCGTTAAGCAACCACCTATTGCGAGTGGCAAACAAATGCCGCTTTCTTCTCAGTTGATGTGTTGACCCTCCCCCTACCCCCTCCAAATGCTTTCTGCGCCTCCCCTTACTTGGCACTCCGTGATAGCTCCACATTCGACCAAGCGGTGATGTCGTGCTATGAAATCATGCGGCATGAACAATTTTTGTTGTTTTGTCGCATCACGGTGGCGTCATAACACTACGATAACTTTAGCACCTCCAGTGTTGACATCAACGCAACGGGACGCCGGCCATGCAGTGCAAACGCGCGCTTCGCAATGGTAGCCGTTGGTCCGCCTTAGTTCAGGGACTGGTCGTCATGCGACACTACATGTCTGGTAGGGCGGCTCGTGTCGCACGTGTGTCCGAGTGCTTTCCCAAGGACATGTGACAGGCGTGCTTCCCTCTCCAATATTTGTTTCCTCGTGCTGCTTCTTTGTGGCTCGAAGCAATGCCGCTGCCACCTCCCAGCGCTCCTTGAGTCAGCGTGTGCAGCAGCGCCCCGATGACGGTTCCCTATTAGTTGCACGCATTGCACTACGAACAGCGACGAAGCATCTGGAAACACTGTATCTTTTATATAGAGAGAGAGCCAGCGTGACCGCCATCCTTGTGAACGCGAGGAATGCAAGGCGGTGCCATCTGTACACAACTGAAAAAAAAAATACCTCCCTTGATATTCATCGTGAGGCACCGCATGGAGATTTCTTTCCTTCATGACCATATAAAGCAGCTCGCGACGGCTCGGTGATAGGAGAGAGCAGAAAAGGGCTAGATGCGAAGATGGTGATCGGGTGCATCGGCATCTGGCTTGGAATGGAAAAAATATAGATGGCGCTGGTGTATTAAACAGTTGCATGGTCGCACTTTTGTCTCCTCGGGTACTTTGTATGTCGTCTTTCGTTTCTTAATAGCACATCATAAACAAAATTTCCAGCTCAGTAATGCCAGCAAATGATGTGTGCCAGTATCTATCTATCTATCTATCTATCTATCTATCTATCTATCTATCTATCTATCTATCTGTCTGTCTGTCTGTCTGTCTGTCTGTCTGTCTGTCTGTCTGTCTGTCTGTCCGCCCGCCCGTCCGTCCATCCGTCCGTCCGTCCGTCCGTCCGTCTGTCTGTCTGTCTGTCTGTCTGTCTGTCTGTCTGTCTGTCTGTCTGTCTGTCTTAGCTGACGAATTTCATCGTTTCTTTCTCTCTCTCCTTCACTTCGCAGGCGGTCTGTTCGACAATGCGGACGACGAGCAAGAGTTCGCCTTTCGCGTCACCATCGAGCGTATCAACAACGACAACGGCGTGCTGTTGCGCTCGCGGCTGGTGCCGCGCATCGAGCGCCTCGACAAGGACGACAGCTTCAGGGCCACAAAGAAAGGTAGGGAATGTGTTTCCATTCCTCCTGGAATGCGCGCGCCAGTAGTCGGAATGTGCCGTCACTGCCACCGCTACTGCTCCTGGCGCATTCCATTAGCGTCCCTTCCGTTTGAATCAGTACAATCGCAAGAGATCCCATTACTTAGTGCGGCTGAGTGAATGAAGAGGATCTCTGTTTTTTTATTGTTTCTTTGTGTCGTCACCCACGAGATTCCAAGCTATGAGCCAGAGTTCAATTCTCCTGGAGAGAGAGAGAGGAGAGAGAGAGTGAAATATTTTCATGGACAGCTGGAGATGTTTGTCATGCTTTTCGCCTACCATGCTGCTCCAGGTACTGAGCGATGGCTATTATATATGCAGTGATAAACACATAACACATACAGTCCCAGACGTGCACTACACGAGTTACAATGTTTCGTTCATACTTGTGACCCGCCAGGATGTCAGTAGCGCTTTTTCGGCGTGTAACGCACTGGAGCTACTATGCCAACTGCCCAGACTATACCTGTCAAGTCGAAGTTTGAGTCCCGTTGTATTTTTAAGGCCGTCCTTTCAGAAACTGCCTCTCTAGTGCGTACATTGTGTGCTCACAGCAGACCTGATTGTTGTCTTTTAGGACGTTACATCGAAACCACAATGGTGAGTCTGACAGCCCGATTTCGTTCCTTAAGTAATTGGTATATGTGACGTTTAATCGAATGAGGTGTAAACATGTTTTGTCTTGCCTGTTGAGGTCTCGCGGCATACTGAAATCACTCGAAAAATTGATCTTGTTCAGAGGCCCATACCGCTGACCAGCGTGTCTCCACAGGAATCGCTTGTTCCCCTGGAGTTAGTGCTTTCTATTTTCCTGATATCGTAATAGTATTGTGCCTTTAGGGGCCCATTTAGTTGAAGAATTAAATGGCCATTATGAGTAGTGAAGGTCAAACCCATTGCGAGCTCGTTTTATGAGCTTTGCGATTGATATAGTCCTGTTCGGTTGAACTGGAGAGTGCACCCAGCTTCGACTGAGTGTCCCGTTTCAGGATACATGTGTACACTGCATATATGATTCACGAGCTTGCAATCGAGCTGACATTAACTTTCATAATTTCATAATAATGTACAAAAAGGCATCTTCCTATAAGAATGCATGGCGTTGAAGAGGTCGGCCGCAACAGTGTGGTTTAGAGTGTGAAATCGGGGCATTCCAATGCTATGTTGATATGAAATGAAAGACTGCCATTGCGACGCATAGCGAAGGGAGGAGCTGTAGCGCGAAATAGCGTGATGCAATAGGCGATAATTGCAGTTTAATGAGGAAAGCTCTGTCTGGTTGTGAATGAACGATGCTGTTGACAATATGTTTACAAGCCATAACGAACAATTTGACGCACACAAGTACAAGCACGTGTATGGGGGCATACATAATTGATTGCTACTTTTTTGTTCTTAGCTCGCTTCTTTTTTCTATAATCGCGTTAGTGAAACGTACCGAGTATGTAGCCAGTCACCTGTACTCGTGTCAATTACTGCCTACTTTTTTCATTGCAGCGGACAGCAATATACGACATATACGTACGTGTAATATCGTGGTCACATCAGCAGCTGATCAGCCCCAGCCGCTGATCAAAAACGAATTGTTTGTTTTTAATCTATCAGCCACGGACCAGCGATGTGTGAGATTCAATACATGCGAAAACACTACAAAACACACAAAAAACTGTGCAAATGGCCGCGTATTGAATATTATATGTACTTGTACGATTAAATATCATATATGCTTGCATGGACATGCATGGAACATCACGGAAAGTGTGTACATATCCGAGAAAAAAATCTTTCTCACACTGTGAAAATGTTTTTACACTAGCGCATGCAAAGCGCCAGAAAAAACGCAAGCCAAACGCAGCACCACCCCGATATTCATCAACCCCTGTATATACGTCGGGCTCAATCTCGGTCAAGAAAGCATTCACGAAACGCTGCTTCTTGCTTTCATCGTCGCTTCGACGTCGCTTCTTTCCGGAGCGGCCACTTTAGCGACCGAGGAGGGCGATATTGCGCAAAGTACGGAGACAAGCCGCATAAGAACTCATCACCTCGAGCACGACGGATCGGGCGGCGGCTTTAGCCCTCGACAACGCTCATAACCTGAACGGCGGGGCCGACTCGAGACGGTTCGTCGTTCAGGAGGCAAGCACGCGCATTCTGCGGCCAAGACATCACTGCTAAAGAGGGGAAAAAAAATAAAGTCAGAAAAGGCGTGTGGCTATACTAGATACACAACGCGCCCAGTAATGTTTACGGCCGCGGCAGTTTCCAGAAGATGACCGCGTTGGGCTCTATTCGCTCGGGATTCTTTTTTTTTTTCGTGTAGAGGCCGTGAGTTGCGGTGTAGGGCTTGATTCGAGGGGGGGGGGGGGGGGGGGGAGGGGAGTCGTTTGGTGTCTACACTGATTCTCGAAGCTTCCCGTCATTTTCCTTAGAACGCGGATCTTTGGGCAGAAGCATCGTCACCGACTCGCCCGCCTGCGCGCTCGTAAAGCAGCTATAGCTGCGTGCACCTCCGATGACGATGACGACGAAAGGCGGGGGGATACTAAATAAAGTATAAGGCGCCGTTGAAAAGGAGGCAAGGCTGGGACGCCGCCTGCTCGGAACGCAGGGGAGGTTTGCGAGAAAGCAAGCGAACGTGCCTCAGAAAGTCACCGCAAAGCTATGCCATTTTGAGGACGGCGGCCGAGTTCTAAATCGCTTACTTTACTCACCCGTGGACAGAAGAGCGATGAATCCACGCAGAATACAGTCGCGCTCAGCGGCTGGTTTGAGTTTTCGTGTCCGAAGCGGGACATATGCTGCGCAGTGGCTTGTGGACTCCGAAGCGAGATGTGTCCGGCTGTCGCTGTCCAGTTCCTGCTATTTCAGATGCATTGCATTCCGAAGAACAGCATTAACTCCTGTGGTTGATCGTAAGTTAAAAAGGCAAATGCAAGACATCAACAGCATACGTTTTCACAGTGATGTAAAGGGAAGGCATGGTCTATCTTCATTTGCTATCGATTGACGCCCGGTGGTTCCAGAGCCAATAAAGCTGCTGGCGTTGTGACCACCACGTGTGCCGCATCTATACTTTATCCGATCTTGTCAATTTGCTCGTTTTTATTTGTTTTAGTTATATACGTATCTACAAGGGAACTAGTTATGATAATAGACTGTTTGGAGGTGCAACGCAGCAATATTTTAAATAAGGTATACTGCATGTTTAAGTTTTGTTGTAACTTCAGTAATTAAGTGCCTACTTTTTTTTTACAGCAAGTGCCTTACTGCCATGTAATGACCACCCACCAACGAAAAAATTCATGGTACTTTAAATAAATAAATAAATAAATAAAGAATTAAATAAACAAATAAATAAATAAACAGACAATAGCCACGGGGTAACAATATGCCCTACCTGATTAGCGCTCTTTTATTATTAGTTAACAATATATGTGCAACCTAGGGACATAACACCGTCGCTGTACGTCACCGTTAGTTTCACTATATAAAGTCTAAGGACAGTAGCCCCTTGCGTCGTATGTTCCTTGTGTGAGTGAAAGCGTACGAGAGCAGTCGAACACCACCACTCTATATAGCGAAGCGGAAACGCGCCCGCCATCGTCGGATTCGCTCGCAGGATTTCAAGCTGGACGGTTGTGCGCTCGCGATCTCCGACTTCAGCGTAGCTCCCGCCGACTGGTTCGCCCTCCGCGGTCTCCTGACGCCGTGTAGCTCTCGCATTGTGGCACCCCGCCCTTGGACTGCTTCGACCGGATCCCCACTTTCCTATCTCCTTCTTTTTTCCTCTCGTTGGCTGGATGGCTTCTTCTCCGTCTTTTCCTTCTATTCTTTTTATCCCTCCTTCTTTTTCCCTATATCTTTTATTCCCCATATCCCATTCCTCTGCTGACCTGTTGAGGTGTCCTCGTAAGGAGAGACAGTTACGGGTCGGCACCTTTCTTTTCTTTTCTTCTGATATAACCACTTATATATATATATCCTGGCGCCCCCTTCCTTTGCTCGCTCTCTCCTTTCTCTTTCCTCTCTTCGCTCAAGTCTATTATCCCCCATTCCCCTTCCCATGTGAACCACTGCTGAGGTGTCGCACTTAGCTGCAGACAGTTGCGGGGTTCACTTTTCTTTTCTTTTCCAATTTTAAGAACCACTTCCCCCCCCCCCCCCCCCCGCCATCGTCCTTCCCGCGGGAGGTCCATGGGCGGTCCAGAAAATGGGTGGATCGGAGTTACTCCGGCATGTTCTGCCTACTGTGAGCGGCAGGCTGTGGTCGCCCGAGCCCCACGTTCAGAATAATCAGCACATTTGTACTGTTGTATGAGTGCTAGCAGATCACTTTATATTGAAACAAAATACAGGTTGGGAACTGCTTCATTCACTGTAGCGGTTCCGTATGTACACACTTAATTGTGTTTCGACAAGCGGGATGCTAAGGGAGCTAAATACAAGCAATATTTCACGGGACATCTGAATTGGTTGCTATTTTTTTTCTTTCGTTCACAGAAACTGCGGTTATTTATCGTTAGACCAATGGGCAGGAAAGAGTGTAGGCTGGTTGGCAATCCATCAATTAGTTAAGGATCCCATTTTCGCATGCCACATTGTATCGATGAAATAGCAAGATGACTACGATAAATTATTCGATCCGCATCCACACAATTTCCGAAGGGACAACAAGCAATGAAGAAAAGTTAGGAGGCTTCCTACTGTGTCACTGTACCATTACTATCCACTCTGAAATTTGAATAATCTTGCGATAGTTTGTGGATATACTCCTATGCTTAAATTTGTCTCTCAAGTCTCTTGTATTCCTTTTTTTAGTTAAGATACCATCCTGACTGTTTTGTTTAATAGTGAAAAAAAAATGTGGTCAAGTATTTCTTTCCAAACCGTGACCAGTTCTCTATAGTGGATATGCGGAGCGTGCAGGTACTCGGTCGTACCTACGCACACGTAATATAT